ACTACAGGTGCCTATGTTTCTTTGTGTTACTGAATGGGATTTCCTGTTGTGCTGATTTAAAGGCTAGAAATTCCAAGGATGCTGAGAATGATACTGACTGAAAAATATATCTCGCTCTATATTATTTTATTTGAAATTGTTATAAAATACTTCACAGATTCTGTCTTAATATGTAAGGAAATTATTGCCCCAATAATTTGTATTTTCCATACAAAGCCCTTAAATACTCAACCACTAACTGATTAATTGAACAAGTACTGAATTATACAAGTGTTCATATTACCTTTTCTTCTTCCATAGGGATCATTTTTGCTTGAAACTTGTGTCAAGAAGAAAAATAAACAGTATGTTGAAACAATATTCAACATTTTAGCCAAACCAGCCAAATCATTTTTATTTAGTTAATAATAAAATATTACACTGTAAGCTTCCAGAAAAATGCATTAATTTGCACTGCAAAGAAACTTGCTTTCCCAAATGGGAGCAGACACCTCATTGAAAACTCTGCAAGAAAAAAAACCCTCAATAGCTGTATCAGATATGAATAAATTTTGTTATTTTAAAATTGGTTATCTGTGGAAGAATGCAAAACTTTACTACTTGTAAAAAATTATATATGTCTATTAACTACATTTATATCCTACTTTTTTGCAACAGGAGCTCAGAGGAGTATACATAATACTTCCTCCTCGTATGTGGGCTTCTATGGCTGAGGGTAAATTAGGATCCCAGTCTCCACACAAGTCCAACAGTTTATGTTATGTTAATGTTAATGTTAATTTAATTTGTATACCGCCCTTCTCCCATAGGACTTCAAATGGTTCTCAAGGAAATGGAATAGAAAGAGTGACAGGAAATAGTTTTGCATCTAATAAAACAAGCTTCCAATTACAATTAATAATTTTATCAGATTATTTGGGACATATTTGGGACAACAGATGCTAAAGCAATATATTATAGGACTATTCCAATATTCAGTTCTTTCTGTTTAATCCTTTCCCCTTAGCAGGAATGTTAAAACAATGTTTTGTGGATCTGTAAGATCTTATTTAGAAAATTGTAGATTTAAAGTGGTTCTGCCTTTACTACATCTTTACTACAACATCTCCCCAGTTGTATTTTCTGTGACATTGGTGCCATTTGATTATAAAACTGAAAAGTCTGCTTTTCATTAACTAGAAGTTAACAACTTTGTTTTCTTTGAACTTCCTACAGGAAGAAAAAAAAAAGCAATTTCCCCTTTCAAATTTAAAGATTCTGTCTTGAAATTTTGAAGATTTTAAACTAAATCTTTATTACAATAATAGACCAGCATAATTTTTAAATTATTAATATCCACATGCTTTATTTTAATTTCATGACAGTTAAATTGTATGTCATAAATCATCTTTTTTAAGAATCTCCTAAAATTATATATACTGCTTTTTTCAGGGGAGGAAAAAACTTACTAAACCTCATTAACAGATTGGACGCCACCATGTCAACATTCAGATCCACCAAATCATGTTATAATTGTTTGCTGATATTTAGTGAGAGGGAGACAATGGGGCATGTAAAGATTTGGTTTGCTAGCTAGAGATTTGGATTTAGCCCCTATCTATTACTAAAAGCCAACATGGGTTTGTCAAAAATAGATCATGCCAGACAAATCTTATTGCATTCTTTGACCAAGTGACAAAATTAGTGGATGAGAGGAATGCTGTGGATATAATTTACTTGGACTTCAGTAAGGCATTTGATAAAGTACATCACAACCTACTACTTGACAAGATAGAAAAATGTGGGGTAGAAAGCACCACCACCAGATGGATCCATAGCTGGCTGACCAGCCGTACTCAGCGTGTGGTCCTCAATGGAACCGCATCTACATGGAGGGAAGTGTGTAGTGGGGTGCCCCAGGGCTCTGTTCTGGGCCCAGTGCTCTTCAATATCTATATCAACAATTTGGACGAGGGGATAGATGGGGAACTCATCAAATTTGCAGACAACACCAAGCTGGCAGGAATAGCCAACACTCCAGAAGATAGGCTTAAGATACAGGAGGATCTGGACAGACTTGAACACTGGGCGCTATCTAACAAAATGAAATTCAATGGTGAAAAAAGTAAGGATCTACATTTAGGCAAGAAAAACCAAATGTACAGGTATAGCATAGGTGGTACCTTGCTCAATAGTAGTAACTGTGAGAGGGATCTTGGAGTCCTGGTGGACAATCAATTAAATATGAGCCAGCAGTGTGCTGCAGCTGCCAAAAAAGCCAACACAGTGCTAGGCTGCATTAACAGAGGGATAGAATCAAGATCACGTGAAGTATTAATACCACTTTACAATGCTGTGGTAAGGCCACACTTGGAATACTGCATCCAGTTTTGGTCACCACGATGTAAAAAAGATGTTGAGACTCTAGAAAGAGTACAGAGAAGAGCAACAAAGATGATTAGGGGACTGGAGGCTAAAACATATAAGGAACGGTTGCTGGAATTGGGTATGTCTAGTTTAATGAAGAGAAGGACGAGGGGGGACATGATAGTAGTGTTCCAATATCTCAGAGGTTGCCACAAAGAAGAGGGAGTCAAGATATTCTCCAAAGCGCCTGAAGGCAGGATAAGAAGCAACGGATGGAAACTAATCAAGGAGAGAAGCAATCTAGAACTAAGGAGAAACTTCCTGACAGTGAGAACAATTAACCAGTGGAACAACCTGCCTCCAGAAGCGGTGAATGCTCCAACACTGGAAGTTTTTAAGAAGAGACTAGACAGCCATTTGTCTGAAATGGTATAGGGTTACCTGCCTGAGCAGGGGGTTGGACTAGATGACCTCCAAGGTCCCTTCCAACTTTATTATTATTATTATTATTATTAGTAGTAGTAGTAGTAGTAGTAGTAGTAGTAGTAGTAGTAGTAGTAGTAGTAGTAGTAGTATTCCCCCCTTGGAATAAAGGGTTTCTGAACTTCTCCAAAGCAAATTAGACAATTTTCTGATTACCTGAAAAATGTCTGAACCGTATTTTGTGATCAATGTACACTGTATTCAAGCCTAGTAGTTTTGTGCTCATTTTTACTGTGCACGGCTTAAACTCCCTGCTGCTGGACTCAATTCAGAATTTTCAGAGTAATCATTGATGTATCTCCTTGTGGCAGATGAAGAATGTAAACCATGCTAATTATCCTCACTAACACAATAAAACAACTTAAAGGCAGCATATATTGTGTGTTATTAGGACACACACAGTGCCCCTGGGATATTCTCTGAGGCAGGGCTTAATATGTAGAGATTGTCCATATTTACATTTGTTTGTGATATATTGGAAAGTTATAGACTGTTCTGATCCTAATGTGTGAGATCTCCACTCTGTGTGTATACTTAACTTTATTTTAATACATTACTGTAATGATAAACAATAAAATAAAAATTACAGTAATGTTTTCAAAAATATTGAGGGGAATTTTTAAAGTCATGGTACATTGAATCTGCTCAGTATGTCCAGCAATGTACTTCTGAATGAATAGAAGCTTTCTCTAAAACATGACTCCTGAAATCCTCAGAGGCTTACTATGACCCATTTACTGAGTGTTTTGCTAATGTAATCTCTTGGTCAAGTATTACGGGATCTTGTTATCTTCTTATGTTGTTATAGACCAGTGGTTCTCAACCTTTTTAATGCCGCGACCCCAACCGGTCGTAAGACGAGGACTAAACCGGTCGTAAGCCGAGGACTAAACCGGTCGTAAGTCGAGGACTACCCAACCGGTCGTAAGTCGAGGACTTTCCCTGCCCGGGAGTGCCGCGCATGTGTGGTTCCGCCCCCTGCGCCGGTCGAGGCGTAGCTGGCAAGCGGCAGAGACGGAGCAGGCTGACCACCAGCTGGCCCAGCTCAAGGGAGGTAAGGCACCCACCGGAAAAGGGGAAAAAAATGGCGGACAGCCTTGCTTGGCGACCCCGTGAAATGGTCGATCGACCCCAAATGGGGTCGCGACCCATAGGTTGAGAACCGCTGTTATAGACAATTGTTGTAATCTGACAACATTAACAAACTGCTTGGAGAAGTGAGCCTTGTTTCTTGCTCTTTAGATCATTGTTCATCCTAGCTTTTGCAGCAGTTAGAATTTGATTGGGTCTCTATATCTTTGAGATCTCTCCTTTATAGTGAAAGTCCTCCAAAGGTGGCAATGATGAAGCATCAGTTGAAGAAGACAAATTTGGTCACACACCACTGGATAATTACTATTTAGTCTCAAACCTACGTTCCTTGGACAAGGTGTTAGAGTCTGAGATAGTCTTTTAATTCCAAGTAATATTGGATAGTCTTAACTATTTAGATACATTCTGATCACAATTTAAGCTTGATTGTAAGATGGATATGATCCTGATCGACCTGATGTATGACTTATATTGGGGAACAAATGGGAGAAGGGTATGCTGTAAGCTCTTCTGGATCTCTTAGTAACTTTTGATATTATTGAGCATGAAATCAACTACAAGTTTCTTCAATCGCCTAATATGAGTCGAGCACAGGAAGCAATATATCCTTCCTAATGGAATGGTCTTAAGTATTGATACTAGGAGCATCTGTTTTACCACATTGCCATTAACCTATGAAACTCCATTCCCTACACTTTTCAACATATTTATTCATTTGTAAAATTTATTGCCCGTTCATCTTACCTTATATACATAAAGATGATTTGGGCTGAAATATTATTAATATAAAATATAACTCTTGATTGGTTACTGAAGGGTTTCTTTGCTATGGATGAGAGTATACAAGCTGACATTTAATTTATATAAAACAAGCTACTCCAGACAGAAGCTGACATTTGATCTTGCAAATACTAGCTTTTTGCTTTCTTTCCAACTGAGTTCAATATAATTCATTCCCAGGAAACTGTGGATTGTAGCCAAAATCTTGTGAATTCATATGGCAATATTACTTTCCACATAAGGCTAAAATTAATCTGTTCAGAAGTATAATAATTATTGTTGAGGAAAAAGTATCTTACTTGTTTTTTTAAAGTTGTAATGGCTTCTGCATGCTGCTTCTTTAATGCTTCTTTCTCATGCTGAACAGCTTCCTATTTGTTGACAATAATTTAAAATCTGATATATGAAGCTGACCTTTGAGTGCATTTTTTAAAAGTTTCATCAATTATGATATTTATTTATTCAGAGAATTTATATGGCTGCCCACTCACTTTTGGTGATTCTATGCAGCTTACAAAAAATAAAAAATCCAATATAAAAAGAGTAAAAACATTAACCTATCACTATCACCATATCACTAATACATTGTTTAATTTTCATACAATTTAATCTTAGTTGATAATGATGATTAAAAAAGACAATAAATAATGGCTTAAGTATGTCGTACAAGATAAAAAATAACAATTACTTTCAAATCAAGGTGCAAAGGGATAGGTTTATTTGTGTGGCAAAACAGGCATGTATTTTCTATAAATGAAAGAGAAGCAACAGTATAATACGATAATCTTCCAATAAGTATGAAACAATTTATATTTTTTCTTTTCAGTTCCTATATATGTTTTGTCTTGCAAAGTAATTAGATTATTAAAAGTAGTAGCAATCTTGATTTTTGGACTATATTCAGAATTTTCTGGATTAGATGAAAGTAAAAAAAAAAAAAAGGCATTGGAATACAGTTTCTTCAGGTTTAGTTTTGCCAGATTCTAAAAGTAAAGTTTTAAACACATGTAACAGCTTTAGAATTCAGTTGATTATTATATCCACTAAATTTAACCCTAACATTGAGTCTTTAGTGGAAGTATATTAAAAGATTCAGGTATCAGTTTTCCTTTATTCTTAAACTTCAGTGATAATACCAAAAATTACGACAAAGTCACTAACCTTCTGCCATACAAGGTCCTGTTTTTCCGCAACATGTCTGCTAATTTGTTCCTCATAAAGATTTTCCGAATCCTAATTTCAAAATTAAAACAAAATCATTGTTGTAATATATTCCTGATAAGCTTTATTATTAAAATATTGTAAAAAAGGATTAATAACATGATTGAAATTGATTTAGCAATTTACACTGAAAATTATTTATTTATGTCAGTGCATTTTCTTATTCTATCATCCTAAAAATCATAAAAGTTTTATTTATGCAAATGAGAATATATTTCAGACCATGGTGAAATTTTTTGATTAAAACAGTCTATGGCTGGGTTTGACATCTTCCACTCAACATAACATCTGCAAATGAACTTATGGAAACCTGTTCACCTAATCTTTGTAGGACATGGAATGGAGGGAGATTACTAGTCCATGAAGTTCTTTTTTAGATCCTGCATGCATTTTCACAGTATTTCTTTATTCAGGACAATCTTAGGAGGACAAAGGGGATAATATATATGAAATGTATACATCAAGCTCTTCCCACAGCAAGACAAAAGGTGTAGTTCATATGAGATTTATATAGTCAGCCTGTTCCATAGTCTGAAAGCAAAATTTTGTTTTCTTTCTGTCACATCTTCAATGGTGGAAGGGCAACTTTATTTTTAATTCACTGTAGCTCTTTGAAATAACATCCTTGCAAACGTTAACCCTCAATATTACAAATAAGTGAACTTTTTAAAGAAAAGTCCATGGGTTTTCAATATCTATTCGTCTTCAGCCTGCCTATTTGCTATGCCCATAGATGAGCTCTTAAATAAGACTGCTTCTCGTGGATCTGATAAATCTACCCACAAGTCCTGAAATGTTCACATTTTTTTATCAACTGACAAACATTCCCACCAATGCTTCAGTAAGAACACAGGAAGCTGGTCTGGCATTGTCTCTTTTAAAAAAGTCTTTCTTTTGTAATATAATTGTATTAAAAATGTTTAAAGAAAGATTAAAAACTAACAGAAACTAATATAAGAGAGTCTTTCCCAGATCTAGTTTTTATATGCCATAACAAAAATGCAGGAATCTGCATTGTGGCTACTAGTCTAATAATTCATATACTATCTGACAAGTACTGTTCTGTTTCTTTCAAATATTTAAAATGACCCAAAGCACCTCTGTGAGTTTCATGTGCTATATCAGTGGTGGCGAACCTATGGCACGGGTGCCAGAGGTGGCACTCAGAGTGCTCTCTGTGGGCACCCGCGCTGTCGCCCCAGTCCTAGGCCTTCATCTGGGTTTTATAAAACCTTTTTGCTTTAGGCTTCCGCCGCTGTGTGCAAAAAAAAAAAAGGTTCAATCAATCAGTCAATTTCAACTTCTCGCGGGAAAAAAAAGATCTTGCAAAGTTGGAATTGATTGATTGAACTTTTTAGTCCCACCCATTCTGCTGTTACCACCGCAGCCACGCCCACCCAATGGGCCACACCCAGCCAATGGGTCACACCCACCCAGCACCCGACGATGCATAAGTGGGTTTTGGGTTGCAGTTTGGGCACTCGGTCTCTAAAAGGTTCGCCATCACTGTGCTATATACACACACAAAACTCACAGAGGTGCTTTGGGACATTTTAAATATTTGGAAACTGCAGGAGTAGTCTGATACTTTGCATGTATGTCAGTCTCCTGATGAACAGAAGATCGAAGGTAGAAACCTTTGTCAATTTCTCCCACAATTCCATTGGGGGAACTAACGAACCATCAAACCAACATTTCACTTAAAGGAATTGAAACTCAAATCTGGATGGGAGGTGGAATGAAGCCAAACCATCTAAAAAACCCAAAGCAAAACAAAGAAGTGGTGCAGTGGTTTAAATTACATCGCATCTCAGCCAATAATAAACACTGTTTAATCTCAACCAGAACTCCAACACTGTTAATTCATAAAAATACAAAATATTCAAAGCTCCTTCCAAGCTGTCCTACGGATTCCAGAAATTCCACACAATTTCTTGCATGGTGTTGTCCTTATCTACACGTGTTTTGACCTTTCTCTATAGCTTAAACTAAACATTTTTTTCTGGAATTTAAATATGCATCAGGCATTAGAAGCTATAAATTATTACAAGCTGATCTTTTCCACAGCACCATAAATCAGTACAATAAAATTAAATGTATATCATTAAACTGTTAATAATCAGATATTTGAATCGAAATTGACAATCATCATTTTTTTTACAATTATCTATATATTTGGATTAAACTTGTTTCAGTAAAGGAAATTGGAATCTTGGAGCTTTAAAATAGCAAATGAAAGGGAAGTAAATATTGTCTTATCAGAGAGAAAAAAATTCAGTAATTACATAAAAGATATCTCAAAAAGCTAAATTAAAAAAACTAATCTTGAAGTAAAAGTTAAAGTCTTCTTTAAAATCACCAATATTATTTGTTTCCCTGCTTGCTTGTTTTTATTGTAAATACAACACTATGTATTTCATTTGCCTTGAAACAAACAGTTTTGTTGCTCTTTAACAAGAAAAAATTCTTCTATATAGGAGAAAAATGTATATCATTTTAAGAAGATAACAAGCAGTATAAAATCTTTACAAGTGTTGCTGTTTTATTAGCTGCCTTAGGACTACAAGGATTTAAGTGTTTTTTTCCAAAACACCACCATAACAATAAAAGAGGAGTCATTTGATGGTTTATTTACTCTCTATAACCTTTAGAAAGTGTCAAGCCTTTTGTAAAATGCTTGCTTCAGGCTGTAGTTTTACAAGAAAGGCAGTGTATTGTCCAAACCCCCTGATTTTTTGACCCTGAACAGATTTAGGAATACTGTACAGCTGGCTCATATCCAAGCAGCCTAAACTAGGTACTTTTACTATCTTTTTCAAAATCATAATACACCTCCTACAAAATTGCTATATCTATTTCTTTTTGTTACCCAACTGAACAGTTTCAAGACTTATAGATTCATAGTCTGTTTAAGGTGCCCTACATAAAATAGTTACTCAAGTAACACTTGTTCAAATTTAGTGAAAATTTCAAACTTTAACACCCACTATAGTATGTCTTAAGAGAAGAAAAGTAGGTTCCTTCTTTGGTCCATGTATACCAACCAGTACAGGGTGAAAAAGAAACAAAATATTAAACAATAGATGTGGTCAGTGATTAACGCAGTTAGTGAATCTGATTTTCTACACATTACTTATATTTGATGTTTTATTGGCATCATTGTAGCAAATAATTTAATAAGTGCTTTTGCTCTGAGAAATGCTAAAGGGGAGCAGTGTCACTACAATAAGGAGAAAGAAATATTCGGGTTAGCCCATGATTTTTGTGCACTTTTGCAGTACCCTAGGCAGTAAATCCTCAAGTTGTAACACTTCTGGTAATACTTTACTAGGTGCCTACCAGTCTTCCTGTCCTACCTGATTTTCTTAAAAGACTATTTTAATTACAGCAAGAATGGCAAGACAACATGCCACAATGCAAAGCATGAACCTCATGCACAATGACTATGCCCAACAATACCTAGACCGAAGCTTAGAAAATGAAAGGATGGGCATCTTCAAATTAGTTATTTATTTATAAGGGGATTTATCTACCCAGTCAGTTGCCATGGCAGCGGACCAGGATACCTTCGCTCCATGGCAGCGGACCAGGATACCTTCGAGACCGCCTTCTGCCACAGATTACCTCCCATCGGCCAGTACGCTCCCACAGGGTGGGTCTCCTGTCCCACGGCAGCCGGTCTGTCACGGCCGACCGCTGGGGTTCCCCCTCCCGGAAGAGACACCCTCGAGGGTGGGAGACCTTACTCGACGGGGGTCTCTAGTCCCAGATCCCTGATCTCCCTTCCTTCCGCCGCGCCCTCAAGACATGGCTGTTCCAACAAGCGGGACTGGCCTAGGATAATTTTTAAGAGGGGTTTTTTTAGAGGGGTTTTTAATTACTTTTTAATTAGACAATTTAAATATTTCATTTTAATTAATTTTAACTTGTGATTGTTAGTGGTGTTTTTAATTGATTGTCAGCCGCCCTGAGTCCGCAGATAGATTACATTATGGAAGCAGCTTCTGAGATCTACAACTGGGCATTGCACCCAGAGGCTACCATACAAGGGCAAATAATGCATTGCAAAGATTGCAAAGATTGGAGGTGGGAGATACTTCTAATATAATCTACTGGTTAGATTTCATGGATATCTGAAAATCATGAAAGCTTAGGCTTTTCAATTTGATTAATTTAATTTAATTTGATCATTTGGAAGCATTGGAGAGAATTATTATTTCTTATTAACTCATAATTAGGAAGTGGCTTAATCTCATGATAAATTATTTACAAATCTACAAACTACTTAAACTTCATGGGCAACTCACTAGAAATAATTTATCTTTGGATGTTGACCAGCAGAAGACTTTGTTAAATTATAAGGACCAATAGATTCAGCAAATCTCCTTGTTGGCTGATTTTAAAATTAAGATAATAGTACATAAACAGAGCAAGATGCAATTCCCCTTTAATTGTTACATTTCTGAAGTCTACTACTATAGGTCATCTTTTACAACTTTTATGCCAAGTTGTTGAATTAAATTAGCATGGATATTATGATTTATCAAGATATTATTTTACAGTACTTGATTTACGCTTAGCAATTCTCTCTCTCTCTCTCTCTCTCTCTCTCTCTCTCTCTCTCTCTCTCTCTCTCAAATCAAAACATTTACAAGTCCACCTGGCACTGTGGAATGCTTACAAGGTCTATGGTTATCTGATGAATAACAGTTCCCCTGTCCTTCCTTCCTTCCTTCCTTCCTTCCTTCCTTCCTTCCTTCCTTCCTTCCTTCCCTCTTTTTTTCTTTATTACTTTCTTTTTCTTTTTCACTCTTTCTTCCTCCCTCCCTGTCTTTTCTTTCTTTCTTTCTTTCTTTCTTTCTTTCTTTCTTTCTTTCTTTCTTTCAATCTCTCTCTTTTTCTTTCTTTCTTTCTTTCTTTCTCTTTCTTTCTTTCTTTCTTTCTTTCTTTCTTTCTTTCTTCCTTTCTTTCTTTCTTCCAAGCTACTTGCCTCTATCTCTATTCCTAGGGTCAAAGTGAGGTAAGTGAGGCTTAGCAGTAACTTAAATAAAGCTGGAGATTAAACGTGGAAGGGGTTTCTTTTCTTTTCCTATTTTCTTTGTACCATTAGCCCAGTTGAGATGGATGCTTCCTTTTTTTGTTTTACTTTTTGTATTTAGTTTTATTTCTTTCAACTTAAATTATATTCACCATTTAAATATTGTCTTTTTATGGATTTGATATTCCATAAGATTATTATAACACATACTGGTTCTATAATTGGGAAACTGACCTTCAGAAATATTTTGTCTACATGGAGGCCTAGTAATTAAAATAGTCAGTTGAAATGTAAATGGACTTTAATCAAAAAGAAAAAAAGAAAAAATTGCAACAAGTTCAAAAAAATTATAAGAAGACATATTTCTGTGCAAGAAATATATTCTGCCCTTTTTTCAAGGCCTAGGAGCTGTATTGGATATTGAATATCAATTTGTAACTGAGAATAATTATTAAATGATGTTAACGATGACTACCTATAATTCAAACAATATTAGATGGCATCCAAATATTTTTCTTAAAAGGATTTCAGTACATACAGTACATTTTCACTAAAAAGCCCTATATTAGCCTACAAATACAGAATGTTTTGTATGTTAAAATGGTAACATTTACATATGTGCACAGGAAATGAATCATGTGCAGTTCATTTATGGGTTTTTTTATATAGAAACATTGAAAAATCAGCAATGTGGTAGAAGAAATGCAGATTGATTTAGTGGAGCTTCACTGTGACATCAATCTGAAGCAAAAGTGCATAAATGTCATAATTCCAAGTTTCTACCAGTTTCTTTCCTGAGACAGATTCTGTAAGTTATTCAGTAGCTCTACAAGAATATTAGCAATTTTTGAAGGCCAGTATATATGTCAACAGTTTTTCTCATCTATGAAAATTAACAAATCCATGTTGAGGTCAAGGCTGACTGATGAACAACAGCAAATAAATTGAGATTGGTTTTAACTCAAGACATTAAACTAAATAATAGTTTAATGAAAGACTGCCAGATAAGAAGCCAGAGTGATAGTGAAAAAGTCATTGTTATCCTTTTTTAATAAAGTAATTACTTAAAGATTATAATTACAAGATTATAATTAACTAAGAATAGAAGATACAGAAAAGAAAAGAAAAAAAGAGAAAGAAAAAAGAGAAAAGAAAGAGAAAATAAGAATATAGTAAAGAAAAAGAAACATGTAAAGAAAAATTACTTCTCCCTTTATCCCAATAAGTTATTTTAGTAACTTATCACCTCTAAAGTAAAATAAATCTTTTCTTCTCATACCCCATCTCTTATCTATAAACAATTCCATAAGACCTCATAATTTATGTTCTAATGTCTGCAAAAGTCCACTAATGATTATCAGAGATAACAACATATCTATTTTAATATTGATCAAGTAAAACAAAATTATATTCTCTCCTTTTACTTCTAACAATCTTGATCTTTAGTCCCTTGTAATAATGCCCTAGATTTTAATTTCTTTTTTCTTTTTTTCTTTTTCTTTATCCCTTCTCACAAAATTTTTCAAAGCTTCAATTTACCAAAGCTCTTTGGTAAATCCAATATGGGAAAATTATTCAGATCACACTCTTGGTTTATTATTTGCATATCCTTTTAATTAATAAGACATCAATCAGTTACTTTGGTATGTCCAGTATAAGAACTTTTGCCATGACACTCTTGTAGCCTAATTTTTAAATCCGCTTTTGAATCAGTCTCAATCATGTCAGGTAATACTTGTTCATCTTCTGTAGCATCTTTTAAAACAGTCTATCTATAAAGGCAGACATTCTTGAAATTAACTTCTGGACCCATTGTTCAAAAATATCCTTCAATATGTCCAATGTTGAAATATTTTGCTTCATTCTATATTAGTAAGTCAAATTTGAGCATCTCTCTTCTTTAATTGTAATGTTTAGTTCTTTCTAACTCCCTCTAGGTATAATTTTTAAAGTCTTACAGCAGGGGTGTCAAACTCGCAAAGTCACGTGACATGTCACGATGTATCGTGACTTTTTTGCCATTGCCAGTAATGGGGTGGGCATGGTTTCGCTATGATGCATCCGCCTTGCGGGCCGGCAGTTTGACACCCCAGTCTTACAGTATCATATTTTTTAAACAATTTAGAACAAAAGCATTTTAACTTAGGAAGGAGTCTTATAATTCATTCAAAAATATTATTTCAAATTTATCTGGACCCTGCTTGTAACCTTCTAAATTTAAAGGTTTCATCACCCTTTTGCTGTATATCCCAGGGAAAAAATTAATTAATCAATTAATCAATTTTAAGTTCTGCTTAAAGTGAAATATATTCAAGCAAAAACAAATAAATTGCCATTTGCACAACCATGACCTGGATGACAGAAAAACTTCATAGACAATTAAGTCCTTAATTTTTATTTAAAACTTATTTCATTAAGGATTGAAGGAAACTCACCTGGTACTATAAAACATGTTGATTCAAAGGTTCCTAATAGCTGAAAAGCAATTAACGAGCATTTTTTGGGAAATGATTAGAAAAGGAAATACATGAATTTAAAAACACTGACAACGATTTGAGCAAGATAGCTATTCCTTCATCTCCCAGAGCTCTAAAGACCAATGTCTTGTAGTCTTCTCATGGAGAGCAACTGTCTGGAGCATTTGTGAATGATCTCAAGTTCTCTCCTTGTTCAGAGAGAAGTTACAAAGTATTTCAATGCCTTTTCTATGTTCTTCTTAATCAGGCATGGTATACAGTTACTGCAATAGGAATTTTAACTTTAAATTATTATAAGTGCCACATGAAAGCTAGTTATATTATCTAATACAATTTTTAGCTGAATAAATTTACATTTAACAGCATACATTAATACTGTTCATTTTCTTTATTATTACAAATTTTAGTTTCTATATATGAGAAAATCTGTAGTGTGGTAGCCTTCTGGCTATGGAATGGGACAACTTGCCACAGCCACCTTGCTGCAGCCAACTCGCTATGGCCAACTTGCTGCAGAACAACTCACCATGGGATAACTCGCTGCAGGACAATTTAACAATTCAATTATTTAAAATAAATAAAAAATATTTTAATTATTATCATTCACATTTCATTATGTCCCTCTTTTTGCATTCTTTCTTTAATGATTTTATTCCACCATTTCTTTGATATTAGTGTAATTCTTGTCCCACAGCGAATTGTCCTGTGGTGAATTATCCATGGCAAGTTGGCTGTGGCAAATTGTCATAGACCCTCCTGGCTGATAATCTAGTTCTCATGTGGCACTTGCAACAACTTAAGCTTGAAACTCCTATTGTAGTACTATATACCATGTCTGAATATGAAGAACATAGAAGAGAACTGGAAACACCTTTCTGCCAGTGACCACTTTGTTTGATTTGGGTTTCCAAAAGTTTGAGATGGTTAGGAACTGAGTTATTTTAGCTTGTTTTAATAGATCTTATTTCATTTTCTTGATTTTACTGCATCAACACTTGAAAATAATTCAAAAACTAAACATAAATAATAAGTGCACCTACCCTTCTCATACGCAGCTCTTCTACTGCCTCCAGAAATGTTGTTTTAAAATCTAGTAACTGAATAGAAAGCAATGCTTCTGAGGAGTTTTGTAAGGAATACGCTGCTATTTCTTTATCTAAATCTTCATCCATTTAACCTATGGAATCTAAAAAGAAGTTTTTTATTACTTAATGTAATATTAATATTATTAGAGACAATGTTTGACCAAGTCCCCCACTCCTGGATTAGTTGGTGCAGAAAGAATAAAGGCAGAGAAAAAGGGAAGCTCTTGCTGTTCCCTTGATTTCAAACTTTGAATGACATTAACTAATGTGCCCAGGTTTATGCTTGTTATTCAGATCAAAGAGTACATTTGTCTTTACATATTGAGGCTTCTCATATAAAAGTGGCCAGAGCCAGAAAAAAACCATATATTTGAGTGAAATATATGTGAAACAAAAGTAGAAACAGATCCTGGGTGACAATGAAGTATGTAGATCATAACAAATATACACCAACCTACAGTAAAAACTGAGTTTGAGGCAAATGTGCCTCTAATTTGAAGACCAACTTGCCAGTCTCCAAACCCAACACCATGACTATACCAAGTATTTCATCAACAAGTGCTAAATACTGTATTAAGGTCTTCTTTCTTGTTTGGCAGATGATACAATGCCCTGAACTTTCTAGAGCACTGAGCACAAGATTCCAGACACATTCTGGAGAGAGAGAAGTTCCCTGAGAATGAACTCCAGCATGAGCCCAAAAGCTCGGAAGAATAAACCATTAGCCCTGGTGATCGACTCAAGATTGGATCCTGCATACACGAAACAGTTCAGTCTTCATCATCATAGATGTCAAATTAATGAGACCTCAAGCACATATATTTAGAAGTTGTTTTCATGTCTCAGATTTTAACAGAACAGAATATTTAACAGAATAACAGAGTTGGAAGGGACTTTGGAGGTCTTCTAGTCCAACCCCTTTCTCAAGCAGGAGACCCTATACCATTTCAGACAAATCTCTTCTTAACAACCTCCAGTGATGGAGCACCCACAACTTCTGAAGGCAAGTCATTCCACTAATTAATTGTTCTAACTGTCAGACAATTTCTCCTTATTTCTAGGTTGGTTCTCTCTTGTTTTCATCCATTGCTTCTCGTTCTGCCTCCATATATAAACAACACTAAGCCAGTACTCCTTCCTGCTGACCAATTGGCATACTCTAAAACTGAGAGTTAATGCCCTCTGCTCCTTTCACTCTTTTACATTTATTATATTTGTGGGGTTCTCAGGTAAAGAAAAAAGTCGACCCTCCCCAAAGCAGCCATGTAATTTATCTAAAACAAAGCCACTTCTTAGAATAATCAGAAAGCTATAGGGGAATGGTGACAAGATGCGTAGCATCTTTGATTTATAAAAATGGAGAGGGAGATCCAGGAAACAGGAAAACTATCCCACAACTTCAGAGGAAACAGGGGAAAAATGAATTTCTTGTTGAAGCTCTATGTGGAATTTAGCACCAACCTTGCATGTAGAAAGATCCATAATCAAATCAACCATGATTTGATATGCTTATCTGCCTGAAATGTTGACCGGTTTTAGAAGGTACCTTACCAGCTATTAAAAAGTGTACAATAGCCATAGTATGTAGGTATAAATATGAAATACAGGATGTAAGTATAAAATTACATAAGTCAAAGAAGTTTATTTTAAATCATTGGTACTTTTATATGTAAGAAAGATTTAAAATTGAAATATTTTAAGAATTTGCTGATAATGCTGATAATCTTGTGTGAGATACTTCCTTTCAGTAAATCACTTCTTCCACCTTAATTTTTCCACTCATTAACATATTGAATGAAGCTTTTATTTTGTGTCCTACTGAAGTCTGACGAATATAGAGCTTGGATAGATACAAACAGCAGTATTTGTAGTTTGATCAGTTGATCTCCTCCCTTAGGAAGTCACACCATTTCTCTATGGTGGCATTCCATCCCATTAAATTGTTTTTTGTTTGTAGAAGACTATGGGAGACTGATCTTGATATTGAATTCTAGAGCAGTACTATAGAAATATTTTTTCAATATAATGTATCAGTATTAATCTGGTTTTTCCTTTAGGTCTGCATTTTTCTACAGTGTAGTCAATAGTATTATTGCACTTGTCTAGATACTGAATTCACACATCATGCTCAGCCAAAGTTTCTTCATTTATGATATATGACTAAAGTACAATTGATAGGTTCACACAATACGCTAAACGATACTTTATAAACTGCAGGAACTGCATTCATGAAATGCATTAAGCCAAACACAAACAAGTCAAATTATAGTTCAATGTGATTGCAAACATAGCTACTATTAGCTGCCTTCGATATTTCAGTGAAAACTGGGCAAATATTTTTAAAACAAATTAATTGCTCAGGAAACAAAATTTAGCATAAAAAGTAGCTATATTTTAGATTAAATAACCCAACTTTATTTGGAAATCAAATAATCATTTACCTTTCCCTGAGCTGATAGTCTATTATATACCTGACATATAAAGTTATTTTAATAATGTAATCTCAATGTTCTGCAATAAAAATCTATATTTAGTTTTACAAAGTATCAATTCACAATATTATCATCTGATTTTAATCAAATATTATGAGCAAAGTGCTTTGTACCTATGCAGAAAAACGTTATAGCTTTTAGTAAGTTAACCAATAATAGAAATATCACTAATCAGATGTATTCTAAACTTTCCAAAGCAATGGAATAATGCCTTCTGAAAGCAAAACAGTTAAAAGAGAGTCACCTAAAAGCAAAGTAGGTGGCAAACAAGTCTAATAAATAAATACAAGCTAAAATTGATTGGTGTGAAATATCCACATTCAGTGCCCTTTGATCATATTAAATAAATGATTTGTTTTATTATGTTTGTAATAAAGAATGCTTTTCTGTAAGTTATCTGAATTGCTGACATTATTTTGTATAAAAATATAGCAAAAGGGGCAGTTATGAAAGAAAACATTTTAATATAGCTGTAAAAATATATAATTTTTAAAAGGAAAATGTCTGTTATAGTTTTAGACAATCATTTTCTTGTCACAATATTTCATTTTACATGAATATAGCAAAAGAAAAAAGAAAAAAAGGATTAAAATCCCTGCACTGAAATATCCATTGAATGTACTCTTTTATTACTGATTTTCAGTTTAGCCAATAGTTCATGGTAAAGTTTTTCTTTTTACAATATTTTACGCAATATTTTTATACAAAAATGGTGTGGGTATTCATGACGCAAACAAAAGTACATAAACTTGTTGTGAATAATTTTTAATGTATAATTTATTAGACGTGATCTTTCATTTCGTCATTCAGACTATCCCCAGTTCCATTATTGTGTCCTACCTGTTTAATATGACAGTAAAGTGAATTTAATAAATTCAATAAAAATTTGACCTGTAGATAGACTCTTGTCATCTCATCATGCCTGACTTTTAAGTGGGAGGTCTTCACTCGTGATGATCCTTTAATGGAAGCAAAGCTTTCTCCATTTAACCCATGGTATTATCAATCATGTACAGGGATAAATGAGCCAGTAAGATTTTGCCAGTATCACAAATGACACGGTGACCTGAGGCCAACATCTTTATTTGCTTCTCCAGTGATTCACTTCAGCAGATATTAACCAATTTTATAATCCATGAAAGGCAAAATTAAAGGACACCATCCATAAAACAGAATAATTCCTATCAGCAACAAAGTGATGTCTGTATTATCTTATAAATTATATAGCCATATAGTGTGGAAATGTAATGAAGTAAAGATGGTAATAATCAAATGCCTAGGGCAAACGCTAATATGCATTTAATCACACAGCATGAAGCCATTTGTCACTACAGTTGAATGCATGTGTACATAAAATACATGAGTCACGTCCTTATTGTTATACTATAACAGCATCAATTTCACACTATCCTTTTTACTACTATAACAACTAGAAGGATTTGATATTATTTTTAAAAACCAAACTGTACACAATAAGTTTAAGCACTTTAAGTTAAAGTGCAAGTTTTCATATACTTCTATTTAAAAAAAAAACATGTGTGACTTTTAAGCCACTCACCAATAACTTAACTTATATTTTCTAAATATAAGTTGTGGCATCTGGGTACAACTTGAATAAAATATTACATGTTTAATATTTTTAATGAATATGTATTTGCTTTTCATGAATAACTGCTCGTGTCTATAGATTTAAATTGCCAAAGAAAATATGTATCGATTTTATTAAGTAGGCAGATTTCAATCTTATGCACAATTTTGATTTTTT